AAATGAAGTGGCAACTCAATGAACTCCTTAAGCCAAGTTCATCCCCTTTTGGCACAAGCTGTCTTTTAATAAAGAAAGGCGGAACATCAGAACGACGGATGTGCACAGACTACCGCGCCTTGAACCGGATCACGATCAAGAACAAGTACCCCCTACCTCGGATCTCCGAGCTTCTTGATCGACTCCGTGGAGCCAAGTATTTCACCAACATCGACCTCCGCAGTGGCTTTCACCAGATCCGCATCCGCGAGGAGGACACCCACAAGACCGCATTCCGCTCTCGGTTCGGGCACTATGCCTTTCAGACTTACAAATGCCCTGCCACATTCCAGTCCACCATGAATCACATCTTCCACGACCTCCTTGAAGTCTGTGTCATCGTCTACCTCGATGATATCCTCGTCTATAGCCCCACCTTCGAGTCCCACCTTCAGCATCTCCGCCAAGTCCTTTCTATCCTCAGAGAGCAAAAATTATACGCCAAGCTCATCAAATGCACCTTTGCCGCTTCAAGCGTTGAATACCTTGGACACATCGTCTCCGCTAAAGGTATCGGCATGGACCCCTCGAAGGTCACCACCCTCGTCGAGTATCCACCTCCCAAGACCCTACTCCAACTTCGATCATTTATCGGCCTTGCCAACTACTATCGCCCCTTTATCCCCAACTTCTCCGACATCTGGTACCCTCTCCACGAACTCACCCGCAAGGACGAATCCTTCACTTGGAAGAACCGCCGCCAGAACGACTTCGATGCCATCAAACAACTCATCACCACCGCCCCCATCCTCAAGATCGCCGACCCCACTCGCCATTTCTACGTCACCACCGACGCCTTCGACTTCGCCATTGGAGCCGTTCTGTCCCAACATTTCCCTCGTGACACCACCGAAACTCCTTCCATCAAGGAATCCCCTACCCACCCCGAGGCTCCACCCGACGAATACCACATCGCCTTCGCCAACAAGAAACTCCTTCCCGCGGAAGTGAATACCCCATCGCCTTCGCCAGCAAGAAACTCCTTCCCACGGAAATGAATTACCCCTCCAACGACAAGGAGCTCCTCGTCATGATCCATGCCCTCACAGTCTGGCGCCCGTACGTCGACGGGCAATATTTCACCGTCCGCACGGATAACACCATCGTCTCTTCTATCCTAACAAAGAAAGACATTACCCCACGACAAGCTCGCTGGTTAGACTTTCTCGCCCAGTTCACCTTCACCATTTGCCATACACCCGGCAAAAACAACCGTGTTGTCGATGCCCTCTCCCGACGCCCCGATCACAAACCCCCTGACAAAGTTTACGCCATAATGACACATATCCAACTCCTCCCGTCTCTTCACCATCGTTACACCCAAGGCTATCTCTCTTGCCCAGACTTCGCCACCATCTACAACAAGCTTCGTGACCTCAATCCTGTCCCCGACTATTCCCTCCTTGACAATCTCCTTTACATCGATACCAAAGGCACTCGCCGACTTTACATCCCTGACGCACGTGGTCTCCGTACCCATCTCTTGGCCGAACACCACGATGCCAAGACTGCCGAACATCTTGAATTTCCAGAAAACATTCAACAACATCTTCCGCTACTTTCACTGGCCTTCCCTACTCGTCGACATCAAAGCATACATCTGCTCATGCCCCACGTGTCAAGCCGTCAACCCCTCGAACTGTGTCAAGCCCGACAAGCTACAGTCATTGTCGATCCCCACCCACCGGTGGCAGTCCATCTCCATGGACTTCGTCTGCGGCCTCCCCAAGACCGACCGCAGACATGATTGCATCTATGTCATTGTTTGCCTCTTGACTAAACGTGCCCACTTCATCCCCTGCACCACATCACACAATGCTAAGGACGTCGCCATTCTCTTCTTCGACCATGTCGCATGCCATCATGGTCTCCCCAAGAACATCATCAGCGATCGTGACCCTCGCTTCCTTTCACAATTATGGAAACACCTCTTTAAAGCCTACGGAACCACACTCAAGTATAGCACTGCATTCCACCCACAGACCGATGGACAAACCAAGAAGATGAGCGGTACTCTCCAACGAATCCCGCGGAAGTATTGTCATTCACTTCAACACGAGAGGGATCAGTTGCTCACCGCCGCTGAGATCACCTACAACAACGTTGTCTGTCCTTCCACTGGCATGTCTCCATTCTACCTTGACCTTGGCTATCATCCACGCTTACCCTCTGATTTCCTGCTCCCCTCGCAACTCAACCCCTCCACGCCCTGCCCTTCCCTCAATGAATGGGTAGCAACAATGAATCGGCTCCTCAGAGAAGCAACCGAAGCCATTGAAAGAACACAAGAACAACAAGCAAACAGGACTAACAAACACAGACGTGACGTGTCATTCAAAGTAGGGGACAAAGTCTGGCTTTCTGCCAAACGCTTTGAACCCGAACACGGCTTGTCCAAGAAACCCTCGAACAAGTGGCTCGAACCCTTCCCCATCATTGAACAAACGTCCCCTATCAACTACAAACTTCAACTCCCCCTTGACATGAGTCGTGTCCACCCTGTCTTCCACATTGAATACCTAAAAGAATATCATGAATCCCCACCCCAATTCACTGACCGCCCATATCCTAGACCTCCACCAATCATGTTACCCACAGGCCCTGAATTCGTCGTCAAAGCCATCATAGGACGAAGAACCACTCATGTATATGACCACCCTGAACCAATCATATAACACAAAGTTAAATGGACAGGATACCCTGACGAAGAATCCACATGGGAACCTCTTGCTAACCTTAGGAATGCTATGATGCTTGTTTGCACCTATGATCGTGCTCACCCTCCATCCTAGATACATAATATAACTCAAACCCTAAACCCTTGCATAAACCCGCCTTGACCTTGCCAAAACCCCGCATTCCTGCTCTACACACACCCCTGTACCCAGCGAAGCCCTTGCCTCGTGAACCCCCTGTCTGGTCCGCTCTTGCCTCCACCTTGCCCCGCTCTCCCATATGTCATCCGCCGCAGCCTTGTCTCTCTTGTCCAAGTTCTCTATGTGGCCCCTGCGCGTCGTCGGCCATAATGGATCTAATGGCATGTGCACGAGGACGATGGCATGCGGCAGCTCAGTACGAGGAGATAAGACAGCTGGTTGGCCACATTTTGTTCCCTTTGGCCGGCGCATTGGACTCACAGACTTCTGGAGCAGCACCTCTGACATGGACATCAAGATCAGTCTGCGACCTGCTATCCGGATTAGACGTCATCATCAGATCATGTACCGGACACAACCTGCTACTGGGACAATCAAGCTGAAGCCCTCGCCATCTACATCACAGAACTGCTGAAGACTGCTTCCTCACCGCCACTTCTGTGACACCCTCCAAGACCCTCCTCAAGACATGTTTTCGCTTTTGACAGACGTTGTTTTCCCAGACCCCACAGACACCCCAGCACTTGAGCATTGAACAAACAATTTTATTGTATTTTTGACAACCTATAACCTTGTAGAACACCAACAGGACTACCCTGTTACTTGTAGAACCTCAATAGGATTGCCATGTTACCCGAACATTGCTACTCTCACCCTTGTAGAACCTCAATAGGATTACCCTGTTACTTGAGCATTGATTTCCCCATCCCTGTAGAACCTCAATAGTATTACCCTCTTACTTGAGTATTGACTCCCTCATCCTCGTAGAACCTCAATAGGATTACCCTGCTACTTGCATTATTCCCCTTTTCCTTTTCTGACCAGTGATCGGCCCCGTCCCGTCCTTCACAGTTGTTCATTGGGTCTTTGGCAGCCGGGACGTTGCTTTCTAGAGGGAGGGGATAGTGTTACGGACTCAGCCAGGGCCCGATCCCTGGTCCGCAGGTTACCACCCGCCAGGCTGCTATTCCATTTGTTTTTTGAAGTCTCTGATCTCAGTTCCTGACTGTTGGCGCCCTCTGCAGTTGGCGCCCGTTCTCAAATTCCTCCTCTAGCACTTTTGGGTCTCGATACTTGGCGCCATCCAGCATTCTGGCGCCCAGGCTCAGACCTTCGATTTTCAGTTCAGCCCCGAGGCAAATTACAATTCTGCCCTCGGACTCAACTTGAGTCCGGTCCTCGGACTCAACTTGAGTCCGGTACTTAAGACCCTGACTCAAGCTGAGTTCGGGGACTCAGTTTTCGGCCTCAATGCTTGTGCTTCAGTGTGACTTGCTGCGACATTGTGTTCGGAATCCAAGATTGCGACTTTGCAACTTTGTGACTTTGCCTCTCTGTGTCTGCATCCGTCGCATCGAGTCGAGTCCGTGTTGAGTTGAATGAGTGTGTGTGTGTGCTCTCACTCTCTCCCTCTCTCTCTCCCGGCCTCGCTACTCTGCCTCAGCCTTGTCACAGGCTATGTCCAAGCCAAGCCCGGCTACAAGGGCTGGCTATGGCGCTGCCCTCAGCAGCGCCCTCCCTCTCGCACGACCACACCTGCGCGCACACTTGCCTCTAGCGTTAACACAGCAGTCCGCGAGCGCTAGCTCCAGCAGCGCTGCCGCATCTGCACGCAAGTGCCCGACCCCCGACACGGAGCCTGACCCTTTCCTATATGGAAAGTGGCCGGCGCTTTCCACTTGCTTCCCACGTGAGACGGAGTTTCCAGTAGCTTCAGTCTCGGCCAAAGTATCTGCGCCCAGGCCCGTTCAGACAGTGGCCTGGGACCGAATTGGTTAGGCATGCCCAACTACCCAGGCCCAAACATGCGGTGCTCCCTGCTTCGACCACGTTGCTGAAAGAGCCTGGAAGGCTCACGGATATTTTGGATTCTCACGAGCAAGGCGGATGTAACGAACTGGCGCGTGGCAACTGTCTGACACCCACCAAGATTTGCAAAAATTGCCGAATTCAGGGCACATTGAGATTCAAGGGGCCCGCCTTCACTTAGGGCGGGCACGTGCCTGCTGCAGGGGCTTATGCTGAGGGACAAACCCTCGCACTTAGAAGAAAAAGGGAAAAAAACGACAGGCATTCCATCCTCACCTTGGCAAGGCTTGCATGGCCCGGGGTCATTTTGCCCTCCTCATAGAGCTTAGACACTCGCCATGCCACCAAAATCATTGCCTGCACGTTGCCGAGCATCCGAACCAGCTTTTCCTGATTAAGCTGCATTGCTGCCAAGGGAACCCCAAATTGTCTCCTCTCCTTCAGATACCTGTACGTGGGCCAAGAATTTCCAGACCAACGATAAAAAGTCCTCCCTCCCACAACAGAACAGAAGAGTGACAGAGAAGAACACATGGAAGATAGTGAGGAACAATCTCCCCAAGCATACCACCAAATGAATAAGTAAATAATAAGTCCTTCCGAGCATCCGTTAAAACTGGAATGGTACAGAGAAGATTAGCATGGCCCCTGCGCAAGGATGACACACATAAATCCAGAAGTGGTCCCCAAAAAAAATAAAATAAAAAAAATCTGAATAAGTAAACAATAAACGGAAGGCAATCATGGTGTAGAGTCTGTAGACATACATGAGACGCAGGCACACCATACTGTTGCAGCATATGTAGTGTTTCCGACTGCTACGCTCGAAACTTCTTTCTGGGCATTACACCTGTGTTGAGGATAGATGTTGAACTTGTCGTCTACACAACGGTCTTAAATATAAACGCACATCCCTTTTCAAAAGACGAAGACAACATTACACAGGCTGTCTCTCTTGGATCTACATCCTTGTTCATTTTTAACTTACATCCAGGATTCTCTCTCACAAATGGTTGATTGATCATGTCCTTTCACCTTGCCGTTAAGTTTTGAGGTCGTCGGCCTTGGGATGCTGCTGATAGAGTTTTCCAAAAAGAGTGAGGATGCCTGTTTACGGCTTCGCATGCAACAAAGATGTGATTGGGCATGTGTTTTGGATTTTCACCACCCAGATGAGTAGATTCGAAATTGAAGCACCTTTAGTCCTATTGCAGACAATGAATCACACTTGACTTGAGACATTCCATGCATGTATGTATGAGAGAAAGAGGGAGAGCGAGAGGGAGAGACATCGACAGTCTGGATAGAAACAACCTTCGTCTTCTTCTCTGGTTGTTAAGAGTTATGTCATATTCCGACTCCCTTCTTCTTCTTCTGCTAACCAAATATGCCGCCACATGGCATTTCTTCTCCTCCCTCCCTCCCTTCTAACCTTCTTCGTCTTCGCTGATTGAGTGTTGTAACGATTTGCCACATGACGACTTCCTTCTTCTTCGTCTCATTACCAAATATGCTGCCACATGGCATCTCTTCTCCTCCCTCTCCTCCTCCTCCTCCTTCCTTTTTCTTCTTCTCGGCCTTCACTTTTTTTTTTTTTTTTTTTTTTTTTTTGTTGTTGTTGTTGTTGTTGTTGCCCGGTGGACCACGGATCAGATATTAAACTGATCAGAACAGGTACAACACTTGATCTTAGTGCAAGGAATATGAGTGAGAGCGATATACAGATAACCAAGTTCCAAAATCACGCAGAAGTCCAGATGGTCATGTAACAAGCAGAGAGCTCAAATGCACCAAGATTCCATCCAAGTAAGGGCAATACAATGAACTCGTGAGCCAATGTCCAAGCCCTCAGGCCACACCAACGCAGTATTCAATGTCGCTCCTACTGTCTGGCAACCAGCGCCCAGCCTACTCTCCTCATCCTAACTATCCTATCTACATTCATACAACAGGCTCACTTCGACTTCAAAGACCAATGCACATGACGTCAACACCAATGCCGACCTCTCACATACACCAGGTACGTACTCTCGTCTCCCGTCATCACCCCTTGTCCACCCACACCTGCGCCTCCTCCTGAAGACCACCGTCGCCTCCACCTGCCCGCGCCCCGCTGCCCTGCAGCGCCCCGCACCACTCAGCGCCCGCACGCGCCCCAGCCAGCATCAGCACATGCAGACACTTGCGAGCTATCGCAGCAGCGTGTCCGCAATGCCTGCCTAGGCCAGAATGCCCTCGACTGGCTGGCCTGCTCCCTATATGGGAGATGCTGCTGCTGCTGGACAGTCTGCGCCTGGCCATGGGAGTTTCCAGTAGCTTCTGCTCGGGCCCCGGTGGCTGCGCCCAGGCCCATGTCTACAGTTGAGGGCCTGGGCCCTTTTCGGTTGGGCACACCCAGGATTTTCCAGGCTCCTAATGTTTGCTGTGTTTGCATTGGCCTGTGGGGTAGATGTGATGACAAAGCTGCATTCTCATTGGCCCCTGGCCACTTTGTGATGTGTCGGCCTCACACTGTGTCTGCCCAGGGCGCAACCACCTGCGTCCTGGGCTCAACTGCCTGGCGCAGCTGCTTCTTCTGGAAAAGCCCAGGGTGAGGCCCAGGTTGCACTTCAACCAACTGGCGTGCAGCAACTGTCTGAGACCCACATTGGAAAAATGCTGAGATAAGGGCCTATCGTGGATATTCAGGCCCGCCTTCACTTAGGGTGGGCACAAGGCTTGCTGGGGGCCACAGTCTGGAACATATGCATGTTGTCTAGGGGCCCCTGAGGACACATTCCTCACATTAACCAAAAGGCCGAGAAAGGTATTCTTGGCCTTCACCTTCACCTTCTCGATTTTTTCTCTTTCTTCTGCTCCTGATGCTACTGCTTCTGTTCCTGTCTGATGAAGGTGCTTGGGAGAGCTCGAGCCACCAGTACTCCCAAACCTATTCTGCAAAACCTGGTGCCACCACGAACCTTGACCTTCCAAGCATGAATGCTTGGGCGTACCAGGTCAGAGCAGGTAGAGGTGAAACAGTTTTCACCTTTGGCAGTAGCCGATGCAGATCCCAGGGGTCGATCCCTTGACC